GTGATAGGCGGCAGAGCGGTGTGGGAGGAGACTCTGGCCGCTCACAGTGCTCTCCACCGCAGCGCTCGGCTGGCTGTCACTTTCTCTTCTCCCCGCTGGGACATAGAGCAGTGTCCAGCGGGGAGGAAAGAAATCAGGGATGCACCGATGTATCTGCAAGAAAATGGCACTTTCGGCATTATGCCAAAAGTGCAATTTTCGGCCGATATGTTTTGGCGGCCGATATATCGGTGCATCCCTACTAATTTGTATTGGAATTGTAGTTCACCAAAGGAGTGAGTTTGGCGAGGCGATTACTTTACAACACACACATAGGGACCATAAGGAACAAATGGAGCCACCCTCCAGAAGGAAGGACAGTGTCAGCACCAATTCAGAGATGATTTGAAGATCTACAGCTGAGTGATACGCAAATAAGATACATTTTGTTAATAGTTAAGGGACTTGAATGCATATTTAAGACATAACACCTGAGTTTAGTGTCATTTTAATTCTCAGGATGTTAATGCACAATTGAAGTTACAGAGATAGATTTACAGACAAAAAAGTCATTGGACTAACAACCTTCATTGTCCAGTTACAGCAGTTGTACAGGGTATCTAAATATAATAATTGTGCAGTCCAATACCAGAGTTAAGCTGCCCATACACCAGTAGAATTTAGTTCAAAACTATTAGATTTTCTAAGGGTTAGTAAGGTTTAATTGACATTCGTTAGCAACTTTAGTGACCAGGTAAATCAAGGGATGGAAACTAAACTAAAACATTTTAACCGAGAATTTGATTTTCATTGGTAAAAAAAATCATACAGTTGTGCTCAAAAGTTTGCATACCCTTGGAGAATTTGTAATATTGGCAAAACACATTTCTTTTATTTCTTATGGGATTCATATTCAACTGCAGGACATAACAGAATGGCACAATCATAAAACAAAACCTGGAAACAGATAAAAACATGAAATGACCACTGTTCAAAAGTCTCTATACCCTTAGTACTTAATATTGTGTATTGCCCCCTTTAGCATCAATGACAGTGTGCAGCCTTTTGTAATAGTTGTCTATGAGGCCCCGAATCCTTGCAGGTGGTATAGCTGCTAATTCAAAATGCCTCTAGGTCATGCAAAGTCTTTGGTCGTCTTGCATGAAGCTCACGTTTCGTGGCTCAATGATATTAAGGTCAGGAGACTGTGATTGCCACTCCAGAACGCTCAACTTTTTCTGCTGTAACAACTTGGCCGTGGACTTTCGAGCACGACAATGACCCTAAGCACAAGAGCGTCCCATGTGCAGCTTTCATGGAGAAAAATGCAAATTGTCTGCCGGTATTTTTTGAGAACATGCTGCATTCATCGTGCCATCAATGTTCACAAGATTCCCTGTGGCTTTAGCGCTCACACATCCCCAAAACATCAGTGAACCACCACCATGCGTCACAGTGGGAATGGTATTCTTGTCGCTATAGGCCTTGTTTACCCCTCTCCAAACATAGCGTTTATGGTTGTGACCATCAAGCTTGATTTTGGTCTCATCATTCCAAATGACAGTGTGTCAGAAGCTGTGAGGCGTGTCAAAGTGTTGGGCATATTGTAACCGGGCTTTTTTGAGGCATTGGCGCACTAAAGACTTCTTTCTGGCAACTCAACCATGCAGCTCATTTTTCTTCAAGTATCGACGTATTGTGTTCCTTGAAACAACCTCACCGTCTTTTTCCAGAGCAGCCTGTTTTTCTCCTGAGGTTACCTATGGGTTTTGCTTTGCATCCCGAACAATTCTTCTAGCAGTTGTGGCTGCAATCTTTCTTGGTCCACCTGACCTTGGCTTGGTATCAAGAGATCCCCAAATTTGCTAGTGTTTGTAAAAGACCCCCCAAACCATATATTTTCTGAAAGTGCCGGCCCGGTAGAATAAAAAGATGGTGATATTAAATTTGTAGGCCCTGCGATAATTGCAGAAATTTTTCTCAAATTAATATTAAACCAATAAAAATACACTTCAATTGATAAAACATACTAAAATCAGTATCGGTGCACAAAAATAAATATTAATTGACTAAATATAAAAGATAAAACTGTATTGAGTTAAAAAATAACAAATATTTGCACATTTGAAATTGCGCCTTTTTGCGAAAAGGTAAAAAAATGAAGGTACGCAAAACTGTAAAAAAGCGACTTCTGTTAATTGTTTTTACGCTGTGTTGATGTTTGCGTTTTGATAAAATGATACAGGTGTATATTTAATTGCAACACAAGGTATCACAACGCACGGCAATGCGTCACAAAGCTTTGCCAATGCGCTGCCACAGTTAATTTAATTTTTTTTTTTTAAAGAAAAAAAAAGAAAACAAATCATGCACTGCGATGCGTTCTAACAACGCAATGCTGCGCATGTGCTTGGCATACACCAGAATATGTGTATGTTATGTGGGGGGGTTGTGCTTTTTTTAATTAGTTTTTTTTTTACATGTTTTTTATTTATTTTTTAATAATTTTTTTGTTTTG